GAAAGCCTATCAGACAGTCGTTATCATGAAGTGCTAGACTAGAAGACGAGCCTTTCGATTGAGGGGTCGCCGGAGGTGTCGAGAGAGTCGCCAATAATGACTGATCCAATTGTGGATAATTTGTTTCGTCGCTGATTTCAATGTCGTTTAGGCATCGATTCGAGTGAATTATGTCAACATTTGATTGAATTGATAACGAATTTATGGTATATTTAGATGAAAATGACGATGAATTCAGTCTAAGAGCTGCTCTCAAATACTCGAGTTCTCGGTATTGATTGTACAAACTTTTCTAAAACAGATTTCAATTACAAAAAAATAAATCCAAATTAAAATTTAGATAAGACAAAATGTTTTCAATGAGGCATACCTTCAGTAAAATTATTTTGTGTGAAATATTCTGCGGATTTTCAAACAGATATTTGTACTCAATTTGCGTCCGCTTTTGAAGCGAAGACAACTGAATGATTTGAGTTTGGATTCTTATGGTTAACAATTGAAGCTTCCGTTTCAACTGACGGACCCAATCGGAGCGCATCTCGCGATACAAATCCGCTTCTCTTCCGTCCATTGGAACCGACGCTCGATAGGAAGGGATCGTCTATTATATTGTCGTCAAATGATTGATCTTCTATTAAACCGAAATCACCTAAAAATTACAATTTTATAAATATAAATATTAGTAACGATACAATTCACACAATTTATAAAATATTTAATAATATTTTGCAATAATTTAAATTTAATTATCAATCGATATATCATATCATTTATAGGAATTAAAAAATTGTAAAAAATATTGAAATGTGTCGTAAAGGAAATAATCCAGGAAATAGTTTAAGAGTTAGATCTGTGTCTCAATACTTATTGGTTTCTAAGAAAACACAATAAAAACGAAAGTTAGTGAAAACAAACACAAAAACACGGCCTTATATAGTAAACTGATTCCAGTGTTTGAATCACATCACGTTAACACAAATGTGATCTATTAATTGATTTGACAATTCAATATATGCTATATTTTTAATGCATTAATCAAATCAAAATACGCTAAAAATAATCAGAAATATTATTATTAATAATAATTAAAATATCTAAAAATATGAATAATTATATAATAAATGCTGATTATTAGATAAGAATATAAACTGATATCTAGTGTGTGATGCGATGACAACGAGATAATACGGTATATAAAACTGTATTCATTGAGTATTGTATGAGTAAATTGAAACCACAAGTGGTGGTCACCTGTCGGTGCATGTGATCTGATCTCTCATTTATAAGAAAAAACAAATTACAAGATTTAAAACACAATTCGTTTTTAACTATTTTATTACATATTAAAATTCAATTGAATTGCAAAAAATATGTTATAAATAGTCACAAAAATGATGCATTTTGAGTAAATTTTTCAATGTTGTGTATAATAATGTTTATAACAACTATTTTATTATTTTAAAGTCAATTAAATTCTGGATATTATTGATTTTTGGCCAAGTTATAATTTTTCTTTAGTCTACATATTAAATGACTCATTCATTTGTGACTCTACTTATAAACATTTGGTTAACATTTATTTATTAATATTGTTTCATTAATTTTAAATTATAATTTATAATTCTATTTTGGGCATCAAAACAAAATTGTAATCAAGTTAATTATGTAAATAACTTCACTATTACACGCACCTCAAAATTGGCATTGATCATTTTTTGTAACTAGTTATACAAACAAATAACAGCATTATAATAGAAAATAATACACAACTTGCTGTACAAAATGCTAATCATCATCATATGTGTAATTTAATATTATAACATAATTCACATTAATAAATATTAATAAAAACCTAAACTTGTAATAATAATTCATATAAAAATACTATATAGTGTACTTTATATGCAAATTATGGTAATTATAATAAAAGTGCGTCAAACACTATGTTACTGTATTACTGTTACAACATCATAACTAATGCTTAATACTTATTTAGAAAAGTTAGAAAATTTGAACATGATCATGAAAATCATATGAAAATAGTAATTCAATTCATATTTTCATCATATTTTCATTAACAATATAATGATTCCAATACTAATACTTTTATAAAATGCATGGCTGTCAGAATTAGGGATGAAAATTTCAGTGAAATATTCAAATGAATCTTTCATTTAGGCTAAATTTTGAAACTTTAGCCTAAATTTTCACAGTAATGTGAAATTTTCATATGTTTTTTAGATAAATACTTTTAATTAGCTGAAATATATAATCAGCATATTAAATGGAAGATTTATCATTTAAAATAATTTGGAAAAGTTAAATAGTTTTTGAATTATTTAAAATTTAGTAAATATTCTTCCTAATTCTTGAAAATTCTGTAATGTATTCTAAGAATAGTTTACTTTAAAAGTATTTTCTAAAATTCGCTATTACAAAATAATGACAAGTTTACTGCAAATAAAACTCTCTTATTAGTATTTAAATATATTATTTTTTGGTAATAATTGTTAATTTAACATAAATTACAAAAATTAGTCATTTATTTAGTAAATATGTGCAACAAAGATGTCGCTAATATAGGGTGGGTGAAAATTTAGCCTAAAGATTCAGAAGGACCCTAAATATTCCCTAAATTTTAGGCTAAATTTAGGCCTAAAGATTCCCTAAATTTCACTACTAACATCCCTAGTCAGAATGGGATCACTATTAATAGTTAAGCACATTATTCTCTGATTTGGAGTTTGCAATCAAATCCAATAATAGTTGTCATATGAATTTGTTTTTGGTTTAATGCCTCGATTATTCCTAGTGATAATCCTCCATAGAGTATATCCTAGTTATATGTTAATACTAATAATTAATTATATAACAAACAATAATAAATGACCAAAAATGACTATTAATGAAAATAGTGCAGAGAATTGAGTTTTAATCATCAATATAATTAGTAGTAAAGTGAAGGTTAATTACGGTTTAAACGAAATGATGAGTACTTACATTGGGAATCATTGCTGGGAAATGAGAAACTCAACAATGAATTTGTCGAATGATTAGAGAGCTCTTCATAATTGAGTCCATTTAGTGTCAGGCGTTCAGTCTGTGAGCCAATGGGCGAGTCTTCGCACTGGTTGTCAGTATTGGGTGAATAAAAGCTGGTATCCAGTGTGGGACTAATGGTTACAGAACTGTCTCCGGCAAAGGAACCGTTGGGCGGTTTGGCACCGGAATTGATAAAATTGATTGAATTGTTAACACTAGTGGTCTGAATGGTAGCCATTTGTGGGCTATATATTGATAAGACAGGTCTTTGTTGGCT